TAGTCTTCGAGAGCAGGACTGTTAATCTCCACTACCTGAATATTCCGTTCGTTTTTCTTTCTTTATTAATGTTTGTTGCACTATTGTCACCGCTAAAATACAAGGTCGGTCTTTATTTTTTGAATAACTCAAGAGGAATAAAAGATACACCTCCTTTTCAATTTCTGAGGCTGCCATTGGATCGAGCATGCAAAGTTGCATCTACTGACGAAGCTTCGAGTTGCGCGAGCTATGTTAAAGGGGTGAACACAACAAGATACTAGTGAAAAACCTGTTTTTCAGCCGTATTTCGGATTTTTCTACTTAAACAGCTTCAAAAGTATTCTTAAATTATATCAATCGATTTAGCTTGAAATTCTGTATCGATTGGTGTGTTTTTATGAATATTTCCGTGCTGCTAGAAGATAAAAACGAATTTATACTCGATTTTGAAGGATTTTGAAAAAAGTCAATACTTTTGAGTTTTTGCTTGAATCGAAACTTTCTGTGCGCCCCGATCTTCATATCCGTCATCAGCACGGTTGATTACATATTCCTATGTGGAATTCAAATCGATCAAAAAGAAAAACATTTTCCAAAATCCTTGAGGGGGACCACAGGCCTCAAAAAGCGATGGAAAGATTTCGAGAAACTAAATGTCCGGAAATGTTCCTAGGCATGCCCTGACATGATTCCACTAGAAAAATCTCAAAAATATTGGGGGACAGAAACTACCGTTATCCGCCCTCCTCTTTTATAAAATAAAATAAAATTCTACGAGGAAAACGAAATTAAAGTTAAGTGTGATTTCCTTAACATATTATCAACAAGTGACTGGTGTGTTTTATTTATTTCATATTCTAGCTAAAGAGACTACTAGAAAAAAGTTTTTTGTATTGAGCTGAACTTCGTGCTCAATACCTCAAGTTAATATTGAAATAACCAGAAAGATTTTGAAAATACACAAGCTTAGCTTTCTGCAAAAAATCGGTTTTTCACAAAATCCGGACTTTAATCTGTTATGGAATCGATCGGTTTTTTATCGGTTGAACTCAAAATTGAACAGCTCGGTTTATTACCAGTTGAACTACGCATTAAATCGGCCGGTCCGGTCCGGTTAGGAAAACTTCAACCGATTCCAACTTCGGTATAGATTAGTACATGTTTTCTTCCTATATACTGTTGTTTCGAAATGACCCGAATGTCTCTTGATCAAAACATCTAAAATAGCTAATTTATTATCTTGTTCTATCTCTAGTGTAAATTTTATGTTCGGACGAATCTTGTATATATTATCTAATAATTCAAAAGCATCATACGTGATACCGTTAATTAGAACTAAAATATCATCAACATATCTTATCACATTTTTATTCTCTTCTCATTTTCTGATGTTAAAATATGCTTGTTTTTTAGGCTCTCCATGAACAGATTCGCTAAAATAGGTGTTAATGGACTGCCCATTGACACTCCAGCTTCTTGCCGGTAAATGGTATGATAGTAACCAGATTGAACGTTAGGTGTAGCTAACTCGTAAGTTGAATAAAATAAAAAGCCGTTTTAGTTATCTTTACAAACTTCTTCTTTTTATTCTGGTCTCACATTTTGTTGACTGCTATTTTTACCGCTTCTTCAACTGGTATAGTGAAACAAAACGTTTTCTGTAAATGTTTTTTTTTCTTCTTTTTATCTTCTTTATCCTTAATTTTTCTTTCTTTCTCCTTCTCTTTTTCTCTTTTTTATTTATCTTTCCATCCGATTTTCTCTGTGTTTTTTTAAGTTGTGAGTTTTTGCTTGCCGTGGGCGCTATAATGATTCGATTGCTCCCCACGTTAAATAAACTACGTTTACAACAAGAATGAGAAGACCACCAACATCATGGAGAAAAACAATTAGTAGAGACTTAAAGGAAATGGGATTGACTTATGATGAGGCTATACAATTGGCAAGAAACAAAAAGGAGTGGGATGCATTTTTATTGCCCATTGCACCAAATGGTGACTGGTCAAATAGATAGATAGACAGATAGAAGTTTAGACTAAAATGGAGGTTATGGATGCAAAGACACTTGTTTACGTAAAAGGTCTTCTAGATAGTCAAAGGAACATACACTTGTTTTGCTGATAATATATGAAATAAAGGCGATTTTTGAACAAAAACAGTGGAGGGGCCCTAGGAAAAAGTGCTCTTTTTCTTAAAAAAATGCTCTTCTACTTTTGGATGTACATTTATCTATTCTAGGAGAATCACATGTTTTATCAATAAGCTTTAGAATCTATATACAACTGATCTTTATTTCCTAAAACTCGCTAAAAGCAATATTTTAATATTACTTTTAGCAGTTAAAAATACTATTTTCTTAAATCTGAGATCACGCACATCTATTCCGAATATAATCATCTAATAGTTGTTTGAACTATTGCCAGGCAGTAAAACGGACCTCTTTTTTCCTTCGAAACAATCATGAAGAATTATACAGCTGTGACCGCCCATATTCACCTCATTTTCGTTCGTTTTTAAAGGTAAATTATAACACGAATCAGTATCATGGTATTTCTGTTTTTTTCCTTTTTACATTGTTTTTTGAATAACTATTGAAGGAAATGACCTACAAGCTCGGACATTGACCAACGGCCCAATGCGATCTGAGCATTGACCTAACAGAAAATGTTTTTTGAATATTAAGCTTTTCCTTCATCTACCAGTTCTGAACAAAGTGTGTGACACGAAAACGAAATACAGATCTAAAGTAAAGCGGCATATGTTTATTCTTTATTTCTTTGCATGTTTGGTCGTCAGATTAATACAGTTTAGGCTTCCCTCTGCATCCACTATCGTACAGAATATGTGGTATTGAGAACAGCTACGGTAACGAACAGCACGGAAAATGATGGCATCAGAACTGGCAACAATCGGAAAGATTTCCTGCTCAAACAGGAAACTCTGCGCATCATAAAGTGTACGGACCAGGATTCTACGTTGAATATGAACATTCAAGTATTGCGGAGCATTTTCTGAGTTGATATTTCGTAGAAGAATCAGTTTATGCACATCATACAGTTAGATAAATCCATTCCATCTAAATTATCTAGAACTTTTTCTTATTTGACAAATATAATGCATCTGAAACATGAAGATCGAAGTAAAGCGAGAAAAATATTTATCTAATGGAGGCAAGTATTGTGAACACCTTTTCATGTACAGAGACTTCCAGAATGCTTTGTTTGTGAGGCGTGCTTGACATGAACAATTAAAAAGACTTTATAATATTTATCAAAAATGAAAAACGTTCCTTTCATCGAAAATGGCGTATTTTTTTGACTTTCATGCCATATCCAGTCAATCAGTTAGGGAAGCTCCAACACGGTTTTACCATTAAGCGCACTGGCAAATAGTTTGTAGAACCGCAGAAGTAGAAACAAAGAATAAAAGACTGAAATAGTTAAAAGTTTTGATAAAATTCAACAATCATGAGTATGCGTTGAGTAGTAAACTCAACCATGCTGACTACGACAAAAAAGGTAAAAGCCTTAAAACAACGGAATTTTTTTATTATGTCATAAATAAAAGTTGTTTTATGGTTTTATGCTAAAAAGGTTCAAAGTAAATAATAAATTATTATCAGTATACCTCAGTTGCTATATGTTATCTATTGACCCGAAACGACATATCTCCTTCTAACTAAGTCTTCTAACATGTTCAGTAAACATGAAAAATAGAAAAATGATGTATTTACAAAATGTAACAAAAATAGTACTGTCAATTGTGCAGGAGCTTAACGTGGGAATTAAGATTCGCGTAGTGAAATAACTATGTTTAATTATTATTTCGCTTAATCTAAGTTAAATCCTTAGCTGAAAAGTGAATTTCAATTTTAGTTTTGTTTCTACGACGATGATCGCAGATGACGGTCGAATGTCTTGCAACGATTTTTTGTTATGGAATTTGAACTTCTTTCTGTTAGCTGGGTCACCGTGACGAACTAACTAACGCGATGGTTTTCTATTTTCTGAACAGTTTTATTTATGAAAGGATTTCAGATGTTTTTGACGTTGAATGCATATATTCATATGTATTTTACAATAGACTATTATTTGGTTTTTATGTTTTAATAATTAGTCACCCCTGTTTGTAAACCTTTAGCTTGAACATCTAAGCCATTTGCACATTATCAAAGACCGATTTTAAACACTGTCCTCGTATTTCTCTGTTAAGAGCTTTGAGTCTTTCATTCTTACAAGCCAACAATGGATAAATTCTACAATGCTAGGTTCCTAGAATTCGACCATACTACGATTCTACGATCCATGAAGNTTCGAAGTTTTGAATTTGCAGACTGAAATAAAAGCTTAGATGCACAAGGTACCGTCACGATGAATAATATCACTGATCACATAGCAAGTGAATGATTCACTTTTAATCCTGCTTTTATACAATCCTGTTATCCATGTAACATAAAATGTTAAATCTCCAGAAGTCTTGAATCATACAATCCCTAAATTCACTAATCCTACAAACTTTTCATCCTACAATCCTTTAATCCTAGAACTCACGTATCCTTCATTCCTTTTTTCTTTTTTCTTTTTTCTTTATTTGTTTTGGCTATTCCACTTTTTATCTATTTTTATTTATAGAAAAACACTCTGATTATTTCGAAAGTATTCTAATTCTATGGAAGATATTCTGTTACTACGGAGAACGTTTTGATTCTGTGGAAAAGGTTAATTCGGCGAAAAAACACTCTCATTCTATGGGAGGTATACTGATTCAATAGAAAAGCACTCTGTTTCTGTCGAAGATAACCGCATTATATGGAAAAACATAAAAAACCACTATTCCACCTTTTATCTATTTCAGGTTTCTGTGAATGTCTAACATAAGAAGAAACATAATATTATATAATCAACGATCAATGTTAATGAATATTATAAGAAATGATAAAGTTTACGAATGCTGTTACGCAGCATAAATCATTCAAAAAACAGGCGCTTTCAACGTTCTTTAACGTGTTCGTGTAAAACTTAATAATCACCTTCCCAATAATTCCGAGAAACCCGGTTATTTAACTGAAATTCTGGTACAACTTTTTCCATATGTTCAATAAGAGCTAAATATTCGCCATTATTTGGTTCAGCAGTCAGACGATTTCTAACTTCATTCATATTCTTATATGTTAACAAGTCATGACGTACCGGTAGTTGATCCAGACTGTCATTATCAATGTATCCATCTGTTAGTTCAATTCCAAGAGAACTGCAAAACTTTTGAAACGGAAAATCCTGCAATGGTTTTCCTTCGTTAAGTTGAAGCCATCCCCAGGGAGTGCTACCGCACACCATGGCTCCACCGTTCAGAACATATTCTTTCAAATCATTTGTAAATATTTCACTTTTATCGCAATGACCATCCCATAAAAGAATTTTTACATTTCCTGGAACATTTTTCATCGATTCTATATCATCAATTCTTACCACTTGCTCGTCTGTCACATATTCATCTCGCACTAACCATTTTATGCAGTTATTAACAAATGGTTGAAACTTGCTATCGATCGGTGATTGAAATGTACTAACATATCCATTGTGTGCAAAAACAAGCACTCGTCCTAGTCCGGATCTTGCTGCAATCATCAGACATTGCTGTGGATTTTCGACACACAGTAGCGCACGAGTGTCAGCGGTACGCGGTATAATAACTCCCGGTACACCGATTTTAGGTATACTTTGCACATTTTCAAAAATCACTAACGGAGCATCGTCAAGCTCTTTTTCATATAGCATGATTAGTATGTGTGTTAGCGGCTGTACCGATGTTTATAATAAATCACTTTCTACATATGTTTACAATATAAAAGCTTTTCGAGCGTAACGAATGATAATGGCCATCAAAGAATAGTAATGAGTCTTTCATCTGGAAAGCACTCTAATGCATTTACATCTACTTTTTTAGTGTATTAAATATCATGACTAGTTTGGAACCTAGGTAGTCATGGTATGACTACCTTATGGCATAAATAACATAAATATAAGTTCCATCCATGATAATAATTGCCATATCTTTTCCATCAGCAAGTAATTCTTTGGCTAAAGGACGAGTATGATTTCGAATAAGGGCTTGTCTACTGAAATGATCAGGTCCAAAGCCTAAATGAAAAGGAACAAATCCTTGCACGAGTGCAATTCTGGCACTTTCTAATACATGGCTGACTGTTCTTCTATCTTGGAGTTTGAAGAGAGAGGATAATACAGAATTACTTAGCCCTAAACGAAGTTTGACAAGTAAACAACCAATAGCCATTGATATAGAACGATTTTCGGTATTTCTCATGTTAATTTGTTGACAAAGTAAGTTAAAATATTCTTTATATATTCCAGTTAGAGTCCAGTAATTCTCATCAGTGTACAGAAAGTGGTTATCAAAATTGATAGGAATAGGAACATCACTTGAGGATAGACTGAACTTTTTAAGTTGAGAACCGAACTCAGTGATAAGATTCATACATTGATTTATTGATATAGTAGAAATAGGTCTGTGATTTTGTTTAATCATAGCTATAGCAGATGACTTAAGGATTTCATTTTCAATATGACGACTGCAGATTCGAACATCTGGCCGCAAGTAAATAGATTCTTGTATCAGAACAGAAAGACGTGCTGTATCCGATATTTTAATAATCGGGCTACGTCCCCATGAATCACATTTCTTGTGTGATAATGGAGGACGACAAAGTGGAAGAGAAACGGTATCTTGTTGTAAAAGTATGCACATAACAGCGGACATAATTTGAATGGCCTGGAGTTGCGCGAGCTATGTTAAAGGGGTCAAAACAACAAGATACAAGTGAAAAACCTGTTTTTCAGTCGTATTTCGGATTTTTCTACTTAAACAGCTTCAAAAGTATTCTTAAACTGCACCAGTCGATTCAGCTTGAAATTCTGTGTCGATTGGTGTGTTTTCATGAATATTTCCGTGCTGCTAGAAGATAAAAACGAATTTATACTCGATTTTGAAGGATTTTGAAAAAAGTCAATACTTTTGAGTTTTTGCTTGAACCGAAACTTTCTCTGCGCCCCGATCTTCATATTTGTGATCAGCACGGTTGATTACATATTCCTATGTGGAATTCAAGTTGATTAAAAAGAAAAAATTTTCCAAAATCCTTGAAGGGGACCACAGGCCTCAAAAAGCGATGAAAAGGTTCCGAGAAACTAAATGTCCGGAAATGTTCTTAGGCATGCCCTGACATGATTCCAATAGAAAAATCTCAAAAATATTGGGGGACAGAAACTACTGTTATCCGTCCTCCTCCTTTATTTACAAATACTATATTATATATTATCAACAGAATTAACACTACCTTGTATCAAAGATACTTTACACATTCTCGTATTGTGGTCACAAAATTACATCAGTCATCGAAAATCTCAAAATATAATGTGTGCTCATGAAACTGGGGACTGCGAAAGTTGATTCAATCTCCCTTGGACGATTCCAATTGACATCTCGAACTTTTGTTGTACAGTATTCATATTTCGCTTGTGATTCGAAACCGGCAGGAACCGGTCGGTTTAAGTGTGGTTAAACTGATAAAAAAAGTCGGCATTAATCAGCCGGTTGAAAAGTTTAACCGCATCGGACCGGTCAACCGGCCGGTCCGGTTCTCTGATCTATGCATGAAATGGAATTCTGGGTCACCGATATATCAGAAGGTTGTTTGAATCAAATGTCTGGTTATTCGAGCGAATCAAATTTGCTCACAAAAATGTTTATTAGATGATGAAATTTCTTAAAATCATTCTTAGTGCGAATAGTTATCTATCCAAAATAGTAAAACGAACTATTGATAACACATTTGAAAGGTACTACAATAGACACACCACTACTTCTTCTAAACTGATTGTCGATCCCAGTGATAAAATTAAGACGAATATTTGCTTTTATTATCTCGGAAGTGAATCAAAGAAATTTATTTCGAGTTTAAAGAGATGTCTCCACAAATTTGGTATTATAAATATAGGATTTGGATTTCGAAAGTATCAGTAGTTGGTGTCGAAAGTATCAGTACCAAGTATCACCTGGTAGTAGTTTCTCACATAAATACAAAGGAAAAGATTATAGAAAAGTTGAAGTTGTTTATTGTGTAGAATGCAAAGACTGTATTAACATTTACGTTGGACACACAGGTAGTGAAGTAGGCATTAGAACCAGCATGAGAAGGAATAGACAATGCTGATTTGTTTTCAAAAATATCTGTATGTCAATGAATACAATCACACTGAAACTCTTGACGAACCTTGTATACTGGCATATGAAAAAATGAAATTCAAAGACAAATAAAAGAGACACTACTGATGCGCGGACAGGAAAAGCTAGCCGATAATGATATTTCATTAAAGACAGTGATTTTCTATTAGACAGTCTAGAAAATAACAGTCCTGAATAGAAAACTGTAACAGTCACTCAGTTTTATACCACATATTTTTCTATTTTAAAATTTTTGCTAGTGTTTTTGTTCTGTCTTGTTGATACTGTGAATATCGACAACTAGCTTTTCATGTAAAAGGATTTTACAAAAATGTTTTTCAATTATATTAAATATAATAAGCTATTAAGACTACTGTTATGATCTGCCATTCCTGGCAGCTCATAAGACTGTGTTTTCTTCTTCTTCTCCTTTCTTTCTATTATTGCGCAACTCTTGTTTCATTCTTTCGTTTTCGTTTCTTTCTGTTATTGCGCAATTC